AGGATCATCTGGGAATCTGTAGGACAAGGTAACCTGCCTCCCGAGCTCCTCCCCAAATCTGGAGAGGGGACTGGGAACAAGTGCCTGGGACCCATATCTTCTAGATGGGCAGCACCTACTGTGTGTTGTGGCTGTTTGGGGGATAAGTTGTGATGTAAAGTGAAAAGATACACCAACTTCACTGGTGATAGCATTAGTAACAGCTGCCCTTTATTAAGTATTTGCTGTGTGCTGACTCCACTTTAAGGACATCATGCATATCAGTGAACTCACGAAAGTTCCACAACCACAGGTGCTCGATTTGTGCAGGAACCTACCTTCTAGCCATACAGAAACCTGTCTTCACACTGTCCTCACACCACACAGAAACCACTGACCTGCGTAAGACGCTGCTATGAACCCCTCCAAAGGCCCTGCCGTACCAAGCACAGGAACAAATTGGCTTGTCTCTACACAAGCTCCTGTCCTGACCTTTTCATACTTTACAGGAACTCTCACATCGTTACTTTTTTTTTTTTTACAGAAACTGGGGCTCAGAGTGGGCAGATTTGGCTAAAGTCGCAAGAACTGAAGAGGTAGCCCTGGTGCCTGAAGCTGGGCTGTTGGCTATTGACATTCTTTTTTTTCTTCAGGGTTTTGCCATATTGCATGCATGCTTGCTGGAGAGAGAGAAGAATCATGAAATCACCCCCCAGGGAGGATGGCCGTGCCACAATCCCTTCTCCTCCATTTCCCTCTCAGGATTTTTTTAAATTAATTAATTAATTTATCTATTTATTTGTTACAATTTTCAAGCTGCCAGGTCCAGGACTCAAACTGCAGTTGGTCATGTGGAAATATAGCTCCTTAAGCACCACATCATCTGCTGGTCCTACTCTTGAGATTTTGCACATGCACACACTCATGCACATGCACCTGGCATGAGTTTCAAGCCACCAGGTCTAAGACTTGAACTGTGGTCAGCCATGTGGGACTCCTGCTGACCCCAACAGTTGGCATTATCTTTTTATTTTTATTTTATTTTTTTGAGAGATTTCTGTTATAGGATATATGCGCCTCTCAGAGAGATTGAAAGTGAGAAATCACCCCTCAAGAAGAGATTTTGTTATAGGGCACAGAGGATTCAAACCTTCATCAGCCATGTGAGAGTCCAATATCTTAACAACTAGGCCATTCCTTTTTTTTTAATGAGGGTTTTTTTAAATAATTATTTTATTTAACTTTATTAATTATTTTTAATATTGTCCCAGTTTGATCAGAAAGAGAGAGAGAGGGAATGTGTGAAAGCAAGCCACCAGGTCCAGGACTCAAACCACGGTCAGCCATGTGGGAGTCCAGCATCCAACCACCACGGCACCTGCCAGCCTCTAGTCGGCATTCTTTTTTTTTTGAGAGAGGTTTTTACTATAGGGCATGTGTGCTTGCCAGAAAGACAGAGAGAAACAGAAAGTGAGAAATCACCCCCCCCCCCAGGGCGATGGTCACGCCACAATCTTTTCTCCTCCATTCTCCTCTTGAGATCTTGGGCATGCACGCACACACGCCTGGTGTGAGTTTAAGCCACCAGGTCTGGAATTTGAACTGTGGTCGATCACATGGGAGTCCAGCGACATAGCCATTATGCCAACTGCTGGTCCCCTCGGCATTTTTAATTATCACCCTGCCTTGCCACTAACAGTCCTGGGCACACTACAAGTGGGTTTTTTTGCAAGCCAACCAATGTCTCTGAGACCTTTCTCATCTGTCAAGGACTGAAGATAACAGAGAAGGTTGCTGAGAGGGTTAAGTTAATGTCTGAACAACACATGATGCTAAGAAGATATAGCATTCACACAGTGCTCGCCATATGCCAGTACTCTTACAGATAAGGACACTGAGGCACAGGGGGTGGAAGCACTGAGTTGTTTACAAAAGATCAGTGAATTTCTCCCATCAACTTTTTTTAGAGGCAATTACGGTGATGGTAAAAAGCAGGCTCTGGGGCCAGGCAGCATGACTTTAAGCCCTGGCTCTGCCACTAGTAAATGTGTTACCTTAGGCTAGTCTCTGCACTTCTGTACCTCAGTTTCCCTGGTCTTTTTTTTTTTCTATAGGTGTGTGCACTTACTAAGAGAGAGTGAGAGAGAGAGAGAAATAACACTCCTGGGGGATAGCCATGCTGCAATCTCTTTTCCTCCACTCAGGACTCAGGATTTTGGACACACATGCCTGGTGTGTTTTTCAAGCCATCAGGTCTGGAACTCAAACCAGAGTTGGCTATGTGGGATCCAGCTGCCTCAACCACCATGCTACATGATGGCCCAGTTTGCCTGATCTTAAGAGAGGGAAATGAGGAACCAGCAGTTGACATAATGGCTATATCGCTGGTCTCCCATGTAGTCGACCACGGTTTGAGTCCCAAACTTGGTGGCTTAAACTCACACTGGGTGCATGTGTGTGCGTGCCCAAGATCCCAAGAGGAGAATGGAAGAGAAGGGATTGCGGTATGGCCATCCACCCTGAAGGGGATGATTTATCATTTTCTGTCTGTTTCTCATTTTCTGGCGAGCACACACACCCTATACAACAAAATAAATAAATAATAAAAACCTCTCCAAAAAAAGAGGGGGGGGGAATAAAGAGGTAAGGAAGCCTACCTCATGAAGCTGCTTTGTCAAGTAAAGGAATTAATCATACATATAAAGTACCAAGAGCAATTTGCACACAGTGAACACTCAATTAAAGTTGCTAATGTTGGCGGTATTATTATCATTAATGCCCAGTATGTGTCAACAATCTCAAAGGAAATTTTAGGAAGTTGTCCTTAGTGACACAGCCAACTCTTCCAAACCACCCTCCCACCAGGGGAAGAGGGCTCTGGAGACTTACCTCTAGGATAAGGAGAACACGGCCATTGGCAAGGCCCATCAGCAGGTGAGTAAGGTGGGCATAGCCCTCAGGTGACACTTGGCAGCCCCCCAGTGGGTCTCCCCGTGCAGCATCAAAACCAGCTGAGACCAGCACCAGTTCTGGATTAAACTGAAGTAGGGAGACAAGAGACACATGGGCATGAGAGCAGTAACTGATGGAGATCCAGAGACATGTTAAAAAAAAAAAAGAATAGATGGAGATGCAAGTCACAGAAATGGAGATTTGGGGGGTGGCAGGTGGTGTGGTAGCTGAGGGTGCTGGACTCCCACAGGGCCAACCGTGGTTCAAGTCCCAGACACAGCAGTTTGCTTTCTTACTTTCCCTCTCTGTCCTTCTCTGGTCAAATTAAATAATAACAATAATAAATAAATAAAGTTTAAAAATAAAAAGAAATGGAGATTTGGAACCTGGAGACTGGGAGACACAAGACCAGAAACCTGAAAACAAGGAGGGAAAGATAGGAAAACACAAGTAGAGACTCAAAGATAGGAGAAACAAAGATAGGGACATACCAGACACTGCCTTAGAGTCATGGAGACGCTAGGAATGGACAGATGGGGGGGGCATTACAGAGTCATGAGATCTGGAAACTGAGGCGTCAAGAGATGATGACATGAGAAATGGAGAGACATGGACCTGTCCCTGTGTATGTGTACCCTAGGATCAAACGTGGGAAACGCATACCCAAGATCCAGGGTTTTGTACACACAGTGCCAAAGACAGGCGCACACACACTTCTGTGACAGAAGGCACCACATTCAGAGGAGATGGTCACATATAGCCACACATCCAGACAGTCCCATACAAACCAGCACTACGTGTATTCTGCACTAGTCAAGTACATGCATGCAGCTTTTCAGAGGGAACAATAATGCCCAGCCACCCCTGCAAAGTCATAGTCATATGCATCACCACACAGGCGCAACATTCTCACACCCCCACCTCACAGGCTAACGCAACTTGCTGTTGCACCCACAAGAGGTGGTCACTTTCACACAGTTGCACACACACAAAAGGCATAGTCAGATGTGCATGCATATCTGAAGGTACACACACCCCACTCACACCTGCACTTAGAGGCAGTCACACGTATGCCATCTGCTCCCACAGATCACAGAGACGCAGACAGCCAGGGCCGACAGCCAAAGATGGCTGTCATACACAGCCTCCCACATCCAGAAGGTCCCACACAGGCTATTGCCAAGATAGTAGCATACTGTGACAGACAGTATCACACACATCACACAGAAAAAAGGTGATGGCAAATAGCTACATGTGCAGAGTGACACACACACATACATAAACCCCTCCTGTTTCTTGCACACGCAGTTCCACAGAGATAGCATCAATCATGGCCACCCTCATACCAGATAGACAATCATGATGGCATACACAGGGGACACAGATCCCTCTAGGACATGCAGGCAGGCCACCACCGTGCATCTAGAAGACCTTCACATGAAGCCACCACGGGGCAGGTCATCATACATACAGCTAAGACAGTTGCTCATACATGCATGTCACACAGAGAAGGCAATCATGCATTTCTTTGTGCAAATACACCAGGCCACCACAGTCCCCTCTACCCTGATGGCCATCACTACAGCTGCTCACAGGCTAATGTGATCAGTCACTGGCAGCCTCACACATGTCGCAAGGCAGGCAGGTGGTGCCACCTGCACAGACATGTCACATACATCCTGAGGGCGTACCTCATAGGCAATGGGAAGCACCAGACGATGCCAGGCAGCCAAGTAGTCAGCGTCACCCATGCGGGGCCCATTCCAGGCCACATTGACAGTAAAGCCTATGCCAGCGGCCCGGCCAATCTGGTTGCTAGCACCCTCATGCCCCATGGGGAAGAAGGTACCGTGATCATAGCGGTGCAGGGACATATACAGCACACTGTGGGAATAGGGTAGAAAGGAGACTATGGCTGGTTAGGGCCACTCAGCACCCCTAGGGTATGGCTCTCCCACCTCCCTGACCACACCCTTGCTCCCAGCCTCAGCTCTCACCTGGGATCATCCTCAAACATGTGCTGAGTCCCATTGCCATGATGAACGTCCCAGTCCACAATCAGGATCCTGGGGAGGGGATAGCCCCATAATAAGCTGGGATGCTGGCCCTCAGCGAGAAAGCTGGGCCTAGACTCCTGGGGTTGTGGGGCGTTTATTGCTGGGTATCAGAATGTTGGATCTCTCGAGAAAGTGCTAGGTGTCAAGCTTCTGGATCCTATCAGTGTGAGGATGAAGGCCTGACTCTGGGCTCTTCTAGGTAGTTACCGGGGCCCTGGGCCCTGAATCTTCTGTAGTCAACTAAAGCATTTGTGGCTGGACATGGCATGTCAGGATAGCTGGTAGTGGTAGAAGTGCTAGGGTGGGACCCTGAGTCTTAGAGGCACTGGATGCTACAACCTAACGGTCCTGTTTGGGTGAGCCCTGAGGTCCTGTCCTTGGGCCTGTTCTTGGTAAATGGGGCTGAGCAGCCTCTTGCTTGCATCTGTAAGTCCTGGGGGCTACACCACAGAGCCTCCTGTGTAACCACTGGGCTGTGTGTGTGTGTGTTGGGAGGGATCCTAGGTCTCCACAAGGATCAGTATTTGGGAGTCCCCAGGGAGCCCTTACCGCAGAGCACGCCCACTGAGGGCCTGGGCATGGCGAGCTGCCACAGCCACAGAGTTGAAAAAGCAGAAACCACAGGCTGCATCCTGCTCAGCATGGTGTCCTGGGGGGCGCACGATGGCAGCACCATTCAAAACCTGGGGTGGGGGGGCAGGGAGCTAGGCTTGCACCCTTACCTCCCCTCACACTTGCCTTCCTCCTCCACCTCTTCTTTCCCTCACATCCCCTCCACTACTTCCCCAACTGCTGGAGGGTCCTACCCTATGGCCCCTTTCCCCAGGCCCTGGTCACCTCCCAGAGCCTCTATAAGCAGAAGGTGGCCTTTTCCCCAGCCTGATGCCACCCCCTCACCAAAAGGACATACTTCTCCCCTGAGTACAGCCTCCACCAAGCGGCAGACTGCGCCAGTGGCCAGTTGTGCACAGGCAAAGGTGCTGGGACAGATGTAGATAGAGTCATAGTTGGCGCCCTCACGGTGAAGCTCCCGGGATTTCATCCTCTCTGTGGCCCGGAGACGACTCACGTACTCAGCACTGGAGGTGCAAAGAGGAGTGCCCAGTGGACAGTGAGGTGGTTTTGTTTCCACCCTAGACCCTTCCCCTCCCCCAAGAGAAAAAAACATGGGCCTCCTACTGTATCCCCCAGCAACAGGGAGGGGAATGTCAGCTGCAGTCCCTGGATCCTTTCAATGACCCTGGGGGCCAACCCACCCAAGGCCTGGGGGTCTGACCTGTGGCAGGTGAGCAGCTCAGCATTAGTGGCAAGACGTGCGGGCAGGGGGAGGCAGCGCCTGGCAAGGCCCAGCTCCTCTAGGCGGCTCATGATTCGGGAGATGCGCTGAGGCATCTCAGGGTGGTGGCTATTGGGGGGTGGAACCAGAGGTGGGGGCTCAGTGCCTAGGAGAAAGGGACCCTCCACACCCACCTGTCCCTTTCAGCTGCATACTTGTCCCATAAGTTGTGATGGCTCATCATACGCTGGTCATAGACCAGCCCTGTGCGGGCCTTGGGCACTGGCCAGGTCAGCATCGGGAGCACAGGGGGCTCCCAGGGGCCGTCCTCGTCCTCCGTGCTGTCCTCCATGTTGTCATCCTTGAAGGGCTCGACTACAAGGGGGGGGGGTGGCATTCCGCCGACTCTTCTAAGTTGGATCTTTTTTTTTGACCCACACAGAAAGAGGAGTGAAAGGCCTGGACCCAGGGCACAGGGAGAGAGAGGGCCTAACCCTCCCTGCCAGGGGCCAGTGAAGTCAGGAGGGTTCTGAAGGAGAGCCCCCCCCAGGCTCATCCCAGGTTCAGCCCATCAAGTTGGCTCCTCATTTCCTACCTGACCTCACCAGGATCTCCCAGAAAGGCTCCAGGGCTTCCAGAGCACAGGAGAGTGAGATCTGGGCACTGGAGGGTGGGGAGAGCAGAAGGTGATGGAGCAGCTCCTGGTGGGCAGTGAGAGTACCACTTTACCCTCTTCCACCTGGACTCACCTCCGGCAGGGGGCACCAGGCGACTCCAGCATGGGACAAGGGTCTCCCAGAAGGGTGTGGAGTGAGGCACTGACACCTTTGGCAAGGGAGCGGAGATTGTAGCCACCCTAGGAAAAGAGTCATAAAGGGGATCAGGAAAACACCAGACATTACCAGGGAAGAATGATGATGACAATGACACGAGCACGCACTGCAGGTTGAGCAACAGGGAACTTAGAGACTGACCTCATTTAACCCACCGGACAGTGGTAAGAGGTGATTACCATTATTATTATGCCCATACTTAAGTAGAGGAAGCAAGTCAAGAAGAAGCCAAGTGACTTATGCAAGGTTGTCCAGCTAGCAAGTGGGAATGCTGGGCCAGGAATTCTAGTTGGGCTTGAAAGCTTGGTCTTAAGCCCTCCAGAATCCATGGGCTGACATATAAAGCTAAGTCACTCACCTCCAGAGACAGGATCAGCCTGCCTCCTGCCAGACCCATGAGCAGGTGGGTGAGCTGGGCAAACCCTGCTGGAGTGGCGGCCATCTCACCCTAGGGGAACAGAGAGTCAGCCTGACTCTGCAGTTCCTTCTGCCCTGTGACCCCAGGGAACCTGCCTTACCTTGGGGTCTCCTTGGAGGGCATCAAATCCAGCAGCCACCAGGACCAACTGAGGCTGGAACTGAGTGGGAGAACAGACTATGAGGTCACCTGTCCTCACAGGCTGTCCTTCAACACAGTCCCTCCCAAATACACCCCAGGTCCCCAGAACCTCAAGGGCGACTGGCAGCAAGACGTGCAGGAAAGCAGCGATGTAGTCAGCATCCCGCATCCCCACCTGCAGAAATAGAGGCATGATGGGGACAAGTCAGCCACCTGCCTGGAGCTTACAGGTGGAGCCGGGCTTCACTTTGGGGGCAGAGGGCGGGCAGGCACTGACCTGGTTCCAAGGCACATTGATGGTATATCCCTGGCCTTGTCCAAAACCTGTGGTGGACCAGTTAGAGGCTTTAAGGTGAGGCCAGAACCGACCCTGCTCATAGCGATGGATGGAGAAATAGAGGACACTGCGGACAGAGAAAAAACAGAGGTGAGAGTGTTGGAAAATGGTTAATCCCTCTAAACATCTCCAACCCAAGTTTACTCAACCACAGGTTTCCCCATTAAACCACTCATTCATTCTCTTATCTGTTGATTCCATTCATTCTGGTGTGGTGATTAAGGTGGCAGGATCCCACATGGCTGACTGTGTGGTTTGAGTCCCAGACCCAGTGACTTGGAAAGCTTTCTGGGCACATGTGTGTGTATGCCCAAAATTCAAAACAGGAGGAGAAATGGAGAAGAGACTGTGGGATGGCCATGCCCAAACTGTGGGTGCTTTCTCACATTCTCTCTCTCTCTCCAGCAAGTGTACACACTCTTAGAAAATTATTAAAAATATTTTTAAAAAGTGCTAAGAGTGGGGCCAGTAGGTGGCATGGAGGTTAAGCTGCCTGGACCCCACACGGCCAGCTCTGTGGTTCAAATCCTGGAGGTAGCAGCCTGAAAGTCACGCCTGACGCATGTTGGTGTGACCAAAATCCTGAGAGGAAAATGAAGGAGTAGGAATTGTGGTGTGGCCATTCCCTCTGGCGGAGTGATATCTCATTTTCCCTCTCCCTCTCTCTCTCTGGCAAGCATATGCATCCTACAAATACTGAATAATAATAATAATAATAATAAAAATAAAATGTCACAGGAAGTGTGTGCTCACCAGAGACAGAGAAGGAGAAAGCACCGTCCATGGGATGTGGTCATGCCATAATCCCTTCTTTTGTTTCTCCATCCTGTCAAGAGTTTTGGGTGGGCATGCATACATAAACTATCATGTTTTTCAAACCTCCAGGCCCGGGACTCCATGGTCATCCACATGGAATCCAACTCCTTTAACCACCAGACCACAGAGCTGCCCCCCCATTTCTTCTTTCATTCATACATCCATATTCCACGAATGTACCCTTCCATTCAGTTGCTGATCTATCCATCTTCCCACTCATTAATCCTTCCTTTATATATCCATTACCTCATTTGGTCTCCCACTGGAACCCCTCCCCTGGTGTTCACTCAATTCCAGGTTCAGCTCTGAGACCCTGAGAACAGTCCAGTCTAATCCAGTGCTGGGGGCTCCAGCCCCTGTGACCAAGACAGTAGCAGCAGAATAATTCCTGTGGTAGGGGATTTTTAGCTGGGGAAAGCCAGCTAGGCTGAAAAGGACTTCATGCCACTCTGGGGAGCTTGGTGCTTGTCCTGAAGGAAGGGGGATGACCCAGGAGTATGGGGTGAGGAACGTTGGGACTTAGTTGTGTGTATAGAGCTGGATTGGGGGTGCTGGCTAGGGGTTCCATGAGGCCAATGAGGAGGCAGATCTTTCTCTTCCAAGGTCTTACAGGCCATCTCTAGTAGTGCTTCTATTTTATCACTGAGAAAGTGAGCACTCAGAAGACTATGGGAACCAACACACTTAAAACAGCTGCTGACAGATATGTGAACCACATGTTTTGACAGAAGGCCTAGCAAAGGCTGAGGGCATGATTCTGCAATATGAATAAGCTATCATCCACTGGTCCATCTGTCCATCTATCCATCTATCTGTTCATCCACCCCCTACCTTATTCTAGAAAGGACCTAAAGCACCATTTTTTTCCCTTTTGTTTTTAGGGAAATGCAAGAAATAGTGGTAAGCAAGGAATCTAGACAAATGTTAAGAGTCACACTCTAATAAATGTTGATCATGTAATGATCTAATTTAATGCAAGAGGATTTTTTTTTTTTTTTGCCATATGGCACATGCGCTCGATGGAGAGACAAAGGGAAAGTAAGAAGTCATCCCCCAGGGGGATGACCATGCCACAATTCCTTTTCCTCCATTCACTTCCTGAGGTTTGGGGCATGCATGCACATGCACCTAGTGTGATTTTTCAAGCCGTCAGATCCAGAGCTTAAACTGTAGTCGGCCATGTGGGAGTCCAGAGCCTTAACCACCATGCCACTTGCTGGCCCCTACAAAGGGGGTCATTTCTTTTATTCATACATCCATATTCCACGAATGTACAATGGAAGGGTACTTTCTTACCCTTTTTTTTTTTTTAAGAATTATTTATTTATCATTTTTCCATTTTGACCAGAGAGACAGAGAGAGAGAGAGCAAGCTGCTGGGTCTGGGAATCGAACTACGGTTAGCCATGTGGGAGTCCAGCACCATGCCCCCTGCCTGTCCCCAAAAGAATGTTAAAATTGAGGAAAAATATCGTGGAATTGGGGGATAGAACATACACAAAAGCTCTGATCTTGAGTAGGTGGGAGATGATTTATTTATTTATTTATTTATTTATTTATTTTTACATTAATTATTGCAGAGGGCACATGTACTTGCCAGAAAGACAGAGAAAAAGAGAAGGAGAAAGCACCCTCCAGAGGGGTGTGATCATTACACAATCCCTACTCCATTTTTACATCTTGTCAGGATTTGGGGCACACATGCCCATGTGCCTGAAGTGTTTTTTTAAAGAATTATTTTATTGAACTTTTTAAAATTTTACCAGAAAGGGACAGAGAGAGAGAGAGAGAGAGCAAACAAGCCACCAGGTCTGGGACTCAAACCACGGTCGGCCATGTGGGAGTCCAGCACCCTTAACAACCACCAAACCACCTGCCAGTCCCATCTGGAATGTTTCTTAAGCCACTGGGGCTAGGATTCCAATCACAGTTAAGAGATCTGCTAGATCCAAGATTTGAACTGTGGTTGATCATGTGGAAGTCCAGCGCCTTAACCACCATGCCTCCTCCTGGCCCAGATTGTTTTATTTTTAAAAAATGATTATTTATTTAATTTTATTTAGTATTTATTTTAATAATTTTTTTGACTATTTTCTTATTTTAATTTGGGACAGAGTGAGAGAGAGAATAGAAAGTGAGAAAGCAAGCCACCAGGCCTGGGACTTGAACCATGGTCAGCCATGTGGGAGCCCAGTGCCCTTAACCACCACACCACCTGTTCACCCTCTTTAGAATTATTTTTAAAATTTGCTATAGGGCACATGTGCTCACCAGAGAGAAAGTGAGAAAGCCAGGTCTGGGACTCAAACAGTGGTCAGTCATGTAGGAGTTCAGTGCCTCTATCACATCACGTGCTGGCTCCAAATTGTTTTTATTTTTATTTATTTATTTCTAAAGAATTATTTTATTTAACTTTATTTATTTGTTTTTAATTTGACAAGAGTGAAAGAGAGTGAGAGAAAGAGTGAGAGTGAGCGAGAGACTGAGAGAGAGAGGGAGAGTGAGAAAGCAGGCCGCCAGGTCTGGAACTTAAACTATAGTAAGCCATGTGAGAGTTGAACGCCCTTATCTGTCATGCTACCTGCTGGCCCCTATAGATTGTTTTATTTCTTTTTTAATTTTTGAAGAATGATCTTATTTATTTATTCGTTTATTTAAATTTGACGAGAAAGAGAGAGAGAGAGAGAGAGAGAGAAAGGAAGCCACCAGGTCTGGAACTCGAATCATGGTCAGCCATATGAGAGTGTTCAATGCCTTAACCACTACGCCACCTGCTGGTCCCCAATTGTTTTATTTTTAACGCTGATAATTTTTTATTCTAAACTCAGTAAGTTAACCATTAGAGGAAGAGCAATATACAGTAGGTCATTAAAATTATCAAGGAAAAAAAGGGATAAAAAGATTTGAGAAAAGCCAACCCTATAAGAGTCACCAGTCAACAGGACAATCAGCACCCAAGGAAAACAGGTTTATAGAGTAAAAAGAGGGGGACTTTAAAGTCAACCAGGACTAGCAGGTGGCGTGGTGGTTAAGGTGCTGGGTATTCCCATATGGCCAATCACAGTTCGAGTCCTGGACTTGGCTTACTTTCTCACTTTCCCTCTCTCTCTGTGTGTGTGTGTCTCTCTCTGGCCAAAATAAAATAAATGAATAAATAAACAAAATTAAAAAAAATTTTTTTAAAAAACTAACTAACTAGAGTCAACCAATTTCAGTGAAATGGTGGGTTAACAGCACACACTTACCTCCTTACCCTCTTACCATCCCTGTTAAAAGATAGTAAAGGAATTTTAAACAAGTACTGCTATGGCTTAAACATGTACCTTAAGATTCATGTGTTGAAATTTGGCAAGTCATTGCAATGGTATTAAGTGGGTGGAAACAAACTCTGACTACAGGATTAAGAGTTGGAGTCTTTGGTAGGTGATTAATATTTGAGAATGTCATCAGGGTGGGCTTCCCTGATTTAATCCTGGTGAATTTATAAACAAAGGGAAAGACAGACATGGACATACTTGCTCTTGTCCTCTTGCCATGTGATACCTATCCTGCCTCAGGACTCTTCTGGTTGCACCCACCAGCAAGAAGACTTTCACCAGATATAGCAGCTCCTTTACCTTGGACCTCCAAGACCACGAACTGAAAAAACCTTTATTCTTTTTTTAAAATTATTTACTTTTATTTATTCATTTATTTATTTTAATTTGACCAGAGAGACACAGTGGGGGCAGGGGGGAGGGGGAGTGAGAAAGCAAGCCACCAGGTCCGGGACTTGAACCATGGTCAATCATGTGAGAATGTCCAGCACCTTAACCACCACATCACCTGCTGGCCCCTACCTGTATTCTTTTTTTATGTGCCAGAGGGCTGTGTGCTCACCAGATAGAAAGAGAGGGAGAGAGAGAGAGAGAGAGAGCACACCCCTGAATGGGGTGTGGTCACATGGCAATCCTTTTTCCTCCATTCCTCCTTTCCATCTGGACTGGGCACATACATGCACCCAGCATGCTTTTGTTTTTTTCTCTGGAGAGATTTTTGCTATAGGGTGCATGTGCTCACTGAAGAGACAAGAAAGGACAGAGAAACAGAGAGCAAGAAGTCACCTCCTGGTGGGGATGGCCATGCCAGTCCCTTCTCTTCCAGTCTCAACTTCAGATTTTGGGCACACACATACATGCACCCGGCATGAGTTTCAAGCTGCTGGGTCCAGGACTCAAATCACAATCGACTATGTGGGAGTCCAGTGACATAA